TAGCATAACTGAATAGACTTTTCTATTCTCTCTTGCCTTTGACGACACCTACATTATATTCCGATGGAAAAATTGCAATTTTTTCACCTCTATTGCATGCCGTAAGCGCTAAGCGCGCACGTATGTTCACTAAGGCCTAAAAATTAAGATTCCAACGTTTTATCGCATTAAATCGTATCTAGTAATCATATTATATATATAAATAATATAAAAAGCACATTGTCAGAAAGATAAATAATCGTTGAACTTATTAATATTTTTTTGCTCTCGTTACACCCAATAATCAAAAAATATCACAATAAAATAGAAATTTTACAGTCATATTAATATTACGCATTGCTGACTGTGTACCTACTAAGAAATTCGTAAGTATCTTACATATAACTATTCTATTTTAACGCGAAACTCGAGTTTGTGTGTTTAAAACATCACACGATTAAGCTTTTTCATGGCCCGATATAAAAAACTAAAAACCGTATCTACTCATTGCTTCATCTTCCTCAATGAATTTACCGTAGGAAGTGGCAAGACGATTGGATTAAATAAATCGCTGTAGCGATATAATGCTTGTCTTTGATCATGATTAACTGAAGCGAATCGAGTAATTAAAATTTCAAAGATAACATTAATAATGAAGCCGTGACGTCATATACCAACGGTGCCACATCAACATGGACCACACACAAAAAAAAAAGAGTTACTTGCAAAATTAATGTGATATTATATGTTTCTAAAATAATGCTAATCAATTTAAAGAATTGACCCCCTAATTAGATGTATGCAAATTCGTACAAATATACAGAAATCTAAATTAAAATCCTATTACTAATTTGATGTCTTAATCGCTTAAAATACCATATGCTCAAAGCATGTATTAGGCGTTACATATTGCCCATTTTCAACGCATGAGTCGAATAACAGATTACATACTCGGGCGCAAGCCGATGAACTCATTGCACATTTTTGAAATGGTGTTTAAAATAGTAGATTACGTAACATGTGAAATAGAATCAAAAGCGTCCTTGAACGACCAATGTATCCTAATGGGCAGAAACAGATGACATTGACATTTTGTTTCGGTACGCGAGTAGCGAAAGCGGATTGGACCATCTATGTTTTTCACGAGCGCAGTTGTTGTTATCGCAGTATTAAGCACGGTTACTACGTAAGAATAACAAAAAATAGAACACAATCCGAGATAAACTATGTATGGACGTGATGACGCGAAGGCCGCGTGTTGAACTCGTTCCATAGTTTTTTGTTCCACTTTACATTCTTCAACATTCGCGGTTCTATCTAATCTTACACGGACCTGACTTTCTTTGAAAATATTTTAACGTACATATATTATGAAACAAGAAGTATAACGAAGAAGAAAGTCTGTAAGCTCGATTGGACTAAAGAATTCTATTTATCATCAACAAGTTTAAGTTATTATAGTTGTATAACTAAAAATATGCATTAATAAAAATCAAAAATTATAAATACATTATATAAATAAAAGCTTAATCTTTTTATCTTACGTTAAACGATTTAAAATTTAGTTTGGCGCCAAGTCGCGCAGATAGATGTCGAGGCGTGTTTTCTATGACAGTCACGTCCACAAATCTGGCACTCTGTTTATACAACACTATGCAACGGGTTTGCCTCGTTAAATTTTTATTGCCACAAGGTCGCCACTTTATGGTCAATTCTCAGCTGTTATTGTTCGCCGGCGGAACTTTTTACACTAGCGCCAAACGCCTTATAACGGCGGAGTTACGGTTGACAGCGATTAGCTCATAATTGTTATAGAGCCATAAAACGATTTTTACAACCTCTAAAAGCATAATCTGTTTTGTTTGCTCGATTACTGAAATATATTGATGATAAAGGTGTATTAATGCGACAGTATCTGGCTGAGCGTATTGCCGCTATAAATTTGCGCATGCGACTGTTTTATTTTGCGAATATATCTAAAAAACTGTGCAAATACGACTTGAGAGTAGTTTTAGTGGCAGTGGCGCGTATAAAAAGCGTACGAGTAACGAGTCAGCTGTCTATTGCCAAATTCTATAGTCTCATGTGATAGCGTTGCTGTGTTTTGACTGCTGCGAATTTGGCTATATCGCAGTTTGCAAAATGACCGCAGGGCGTCGGGTAATAAAGCGATTTGCGAGCGTGCCAACAAAACAATGGGCCCCATTCTAAGCTTGTTTTAACAGCTTTCGACACCGTGATTTAAAACCCTTTGACTTATACCTTATTTGTAAACATCTTGTTAGCACAAAGGAACGCAATTTAAAACAAAATAAAAGAATTTGCACAACCCTATTGCCGTGAACTCTTTGTCGTCTCTTTTTGTTTTTTTTATAGAAATGCGGTGAAAGTCGAAAGCTGGACGCTATGCTTAAAAATACTTCGCTTTTTGGATTTTGTTAAATAATATGATAGTTTACTTTGAGTGTCCTTTTTTAAATATTAAAGTTAATTCACTTTGTTTTAAATGATGCCTGTAAATATATTCGTCCCTTTCGGACTTTAAGTCAACCAAGGAGATCTATCACTCAGTACCTCATTTTTATATTTTTTTAAATCTGTATGTGATATCATAAACCTGGCTACAAAAGCATAGATAATGTTGGTACTATTAAAATAGGATTACATTTATTGTGTTTGAATTAATAAGTAGGTACGTTCTAGACACACGGTCGTCATAAAAAAGCTACCGTGTAATGGGCATTATCATCATTATCATTACAGTCCATCACAAATCCACTGCTGAACTTGTGAGGCAGCTTACTCGAAAACTCCTACCTTAATAACTAAATTTCTTATTAACAGTTCTACTATTGACTTGTCCATTGTCTATAGAGAAAGTTTCTATACAATGCTACCTTAAATAAACCCTTTATTCACGTTGTACTTTTATCCTTAGAGAAAAAAGTAGAATTGATTGCCGCTATTGTATGCAGGTTTTTGTTGTTAAAGGTAAAAAGGTAGCTAAAAATTGCAAAATACATTTCAACTTTTAACATTTAGATACATTTAAGCAATTCCGACTTTTTGTGATTGCGTTTCTTTACTACTGTAATATTTTTCTTTATTGCCGTATCAGCATCGTTTGTTGAGAGGGGACAAACGAGCATACCGCTGTCCTTGTCGTAAGTAACCATCGCCATCCATAAGCATCTGCAATACGGGAAGAATCGCAGATGCCTTACCAACCTGAGCCATCTGCATTGATTTGCGTTGCATGTCATACAGGTGGTCACCCCATCTAGTAGACGACTGCCCTACACTTACCGGTACGAAGATACTCGAGAACCTTTCTTTCCCATGTGTAGTTGGCACATTGCCACTTTAGCTTACTGCTTGGTAGGGGTATGTCGGTTACTCTGGTTCTACAGCGAATATCTTCATTTCGTACTCTAAGACGCAGAGAAAATGATATCATTGTCTGGTAGATTTTAATATTAAAATTATACTATATAAAACGTGGCTAAATGTTGTACCAAAGTCTTTTACCTCATTTGTGTGATCGTTAAACATAGGCTTTATAGACTAGAATGATAATTGCACCTGACCGCAGTGTTGAAGACACGATCGGGTAGTTGACACCAAAATCATTCATCTTATATTATGACGTACTATTTTACACATCATAAATATAAGTGGAATTTGTTATTTTTAGTGTTTTTTTTTTTGTTAAATTAGCTTCTTCGTATTTTTAAATATACCTACGATTAAGACCATTATTTAACTATAAAATCTATGACGTCATCGCACTATTCTTATACCAACAACTTGTATCGAAATTGTCGATTTGACAACTACTAAAAATTATTTTATTTTATTAGTGTCAAAAACCCAATTTGTTCCTTCAGTATCTACGCTCAGTATCACTCTTACGCTACTTACTCAATACAAAGTTATTATAAAACAATGCATTCCTCGAATAATGTTTTTTTTTTATGTGACATTGCTTATCAATGACAAATTGTTAGTTTCATGATGATAGTAGTGAGGTAAAATGAATTGCAATGATCCAACCAAGCCATGGAAAATGAATAATTGCAACAAAACGTTACGGAAGGTGTGGATGAAGGCTAAATCGAACTCAACACGTGAGCTTCATATGTCTCAATAAACATAATATGCTATTTTATCAGTTCGTTCACGTTAAAACATTGTAATTTAATCATTATCTTCTAATTTTGAATTTCGAACACCGTCGTGTAGTTTCCAGGAATAAAGGAGGTTGTATGTAGAATATTTATGAGAGAAGTATTCTGATAGAATGCTACAGGGTCTTGAAAATACAATTGACGTGTGATTTTTCTGTTAATGTGATGACAAAAAATTTAAATTATACTAGACATTTTCAAAACTTGCTAACAATATAATACATCAGTTGACCTATTAACTGCTTTTATTATTTGAAATAAGTTACAAACGGAGCAAAAGGAATTAAATCCATGAAGAATTTTTTATAATAATTATTGAACTCTAACCCTATATTAATAATGAAGGTAATAACTTCAGGCTATCTTATCACTCTTAAAATGCATACAAAGTGTCTTGGAAATCATATTGTCAATAATTGAATTGCTTCTGGAATAATGCCATTGGCAGACACATTAATTGAAAATAAACTATCACTTCTATCATTAACGCTACAAAATTGTTGCAAACAATATTAATTTAAAATTGAAGGCGTACGATACAATAAATATTGCAATCTTGTCATAAGCTATCGCCATTTCGATAACTGTAGGTACTAGATTTGTTTCGAAAAGTCTAAAGTCGAGTTATAGTTAAAGATAAACAAGTCTTATTTGTTGTTTATGCTGATATCTTCACTGCATACCTGGGTGGTCCCTTTGTAATGTAAAGTCGTGTGTTAAACTAACGCGAACGAACTGTTAACTTTACGATTGAAGCTCATGTGTCAAGAGGGCTTTATATCTAGATACATAAGACTTAAAACTAAAAGAAAATAAAATTGAAACGATAAATACCATTAAACTCACCGCAGACCACGCGGTCGAAGGGGCTCATCCAATCTGGAAATGGAAAATCTATTATCAATCGTATTGAATGTTCCTTGTTTGGGCACAGTCGCATGCACAACATAGAATAAAATATACAAGCGGGCTCACTAGACATTAAATACTAAACTACGACGTTCACTATTGTAATATACAATTATTATTGTACATAAATGCAAATGTCACGTCAACTTCTATGAAAACTTTGAATTACCTTATACATTTGAAAATATACGCAAACAATTTTACCAAGCAAGCACACACTACCTATTAAGTAAATGATGAAAAATTAAGCATACAAAACAAAGAATTGCAGTTTTATTAATTCAGTGAAAAAATAAAATCCCTACGGGTAAATATTCGTGACCAATAAATTCAACAGAGGTTCAATTTAATGCCACGATACGGACGTAACGATATATGATTTTTTTTAAGATCTTAATATTATTTAAAGTCTAACTTACTTATTTATTTATTTATTCACAAATTGCGTTAAAATTCAGGTATAGGTACTCAATTGCATTCTTTAAAACTTGACAATGGAAAAAGTTAATCACACAAAAAGTATGTTATTACAAAACTTTGGTATATATTTAAAAAAAGTATAAATAATGTAGGTAATTAAAATTTAAAAAATTGTAAAATTTGTTTTACGCATGAAAAAACCCTAAAAAGCAATTCACAAAGATAATATCATTTTACAACTACGCTAGGTATGTATTTTTAAATACTGGTATTATATAAATAAATTTAAATAAAAAGAAAACTGTAAGTAAAATATGTACCTTGTATTTTTTTTTTGTATGTCACTTTTAATTACTACCAAACAATCCATTCATGTGGATGCTTTACTATAGGCAACTATATTTTTCATAATAAATTTCGAAAAAAAAATTAAAATAATCTTTTCAACACATGAAAAGGGAATGAAAGTGAACGCAAGTAAGACGAAAGTTATGGTTTTTGAAAGAGAAGAAAGTAAAACGATATGTGAAATAAGAATAGAAGGGGAGTTGGTAGAGCAAGTAGATGAGTTTGTATATCTGGGATGTGTGTTTAGCAGGGATGGTAGATATGATAAAGATATAGAACGACGAGTGAATGCAGGAAATAGAGTGAATGGGGCTCTACACTCTATTGTGAAAAGTCAGAATGTGTCCAAAAAGGCACGTATGGCAATTCACAATGCTGTGTTAGTACCTACTTTAATGTATGGTAGTGAAAGTTGGGTGTGGCAGAAGAAGCATGAGAGTAGAATAAATGCTGTAGAAATGCGGTCATTAAGGAGTATGTTAGGGATGAAGCTGAATGACAGAGTGAGAAATTGTTTAATAAGAGAAGAGTGTGGTTTGCAAGATGATGTTGTGACCAGGATTAAGAAAGGAATGCTTCGGTGGTTTGGCCATGTAGAAAGAATGAATGAGGAAAGAGTGACAAAGCAAATTTATGTTGCAGAGGTGAACGGCATAGTCGGTAAGGGTCGCCCTAGGCGAAAGTTTATCGAACAAATTGGCGATATATTAAAAATGGGCCAAATCAAGAGTACCTTTAACCGACGAGCGTGTATGCGTAGGTATATGGATGTGGAGGAAGCGAGAGAGGTGTGTCAGGATCGTGCCAAATGGAAGTCCATAATCTCTGCCTACCCCTCTGGGTGACAGGCGTGAGTGTTTATGTTATGTTATGTTTTATGTGTCCACTTAAAACGCAATTTCATTACCATTTTCAAGAAAGATATGTCACACATGCTTCAATAACAGTAATGTAGGTGACCGCAAAATAAGTAACCGAAAATATTATAACCATTAACAAGAAAGTAAGATATCGCTTTCAAAACTCTAAATGCAATTTACAATAAATATACTAGGTCAACTTGCATAATATTGTGTTAATTATGTTGAAGAATATTGTTATATATTAGATAATTATGTTTAAGGATATTTTATAGAGTCACAGACCAACGAACAATTGATGGTATGTAGATGCTGTTCTCTATAGACCTAAGGACGCCCTTGAGGACTAAGATAGAATTCTTCGTTACTAATAAAAGGGTCTCCGGTTCTTCTACACTCACCATACGAAGCACAGTTAAGCTGCTATATTACGCTATACTGTGACTTTGTCATTCTTGCTGCAATCACAATTTAGCTGTAGTGTGGCTCTTAAATTAATTAATTATAATGTATAGTTATTATTAATTATTTACATGACAATAAAATTATGTGTAAGATACTCTGGTTTATTTCGTAAATTTTCTGAAAAGCGTCAACTGAGTATTGTAATTCTACCAATAGTATGCGTATCACTGTTATGCAGTGACACTCCCTCGTTCTGATCTGCCTATATAAAATGATCAAAGATCTGAACGTGGTCGAAACATGCTGCAGTGTATTGCGGTTGAGGCATGAATAGGTCGGCTCTACCGCGAGTGGGCCACGTTTGCACAGAATAATAGTGTAAAATAATTTGCTGCTAAAATACTGCTACGTTGCTTATGGTGAATAAAGAAAACCAGACTTTTTTATAGAATAGGGTGACAGAGTTTCGATTTTTTAATCGATGCAGATGTCTAGGAATTATGCGTGTCAACAGTACTTCTATACAAAATGAGCGACGAATAATCCATTAAAGACATAATATGGACAATGATAATGATAAACGATCGAGATTTGAAAACCAATAAGTATTAATGCACAAGTGTTAACCCCAACTGGGATTCAAACTCAGGACTGGAGAAGTAACGCGGTCTCTCTGACAGTTAGAAAGAAGAAAAAAAAGTAAACCTACTTAATATGAAGAACCAATAAAAAAGAAAAGTAGGCACTTAGTAGTATTTTTACTATTCAATCTCTTTTCAATGCCTTTTAATCTTAAATAATTACAAAAATATTCAATGACGTCCTTTTAATGGTTTTGCAAATGCACATAATACAATAAATGACTGCAGATTCCTGCAGAGCCCTTCCACTTGTGAGAGTGGTACATAAAATAACTGCGTTGCACAAGCTTTGAGTGGGTAAGGACATCATATTTATCACTAATCAACATATCGTTGCTGTAAAAAATACAATTATTATATTGTAATATATATGCTGAATAATATGGTATTATAACTTTATAAAATATGTTGAATTGTTTCATATAATTTATGCTAGTCAGGTCATAATTGCTACGGAATATATATATATATATACTTATATACATTGAGTTATATGTACTACGTACTAGAGAAGCCATTCCAAACAAAAATTGTGTCCTACTCTATGTCTTCGCGCATGCGCGGGAGTAGTAGTCGCGCACGTGAGAAAACTTTAATTTAATATAAAATAAGATATTAATATAAAATAAATATAAGAATTTAATATAAAATATCTTAATTTAATCTAAACAAACATATTTCTAAATAAAATGTAATAATTATTATTTTATGGAATTCACAAATCTTCAATTTACGCAATATTTAGTTTGTACGGATTGCAGTACAGTTCAGTTGAACATAGTCAATGTTCGGAATGGCTTCTCTAGTACGTAGTACATATAACTCAATGCTTATATATATATACATATACTAGCTCGCCAGGCAGACGTTGTTCTGCCCAAAGACGTATTAAAAATATAGACAGGTTACACACTAACATTATTGTATTTTAAAGTGGCGCAGGTAGTACTATATCTACGTACAGTTATTTATTATGACACGGTGCGCTAACAAAAAGAGACAAATGATAGCTATCGTTAGAAAAAGATGAATATACATCATTAGTTGCGTATTGATTGCTGCCGAGCGCTCATTGGCGCGAGCGCGTGACATACCGATATGGAAAATGAACACACTAGCTAGCGTCAAAGTCTACACTAGCGGTTAGTGTTGAAATAATAAAATCAATCATGAACAAAACATCTATATTCAAAATATTAATGAGACGTTTTTCTAGTCTCTAACAGTTGCCGTGTAATTTGTGCACTACCTAAAAACACATGAAGGCATTTTTGTCACGAATAACTAAAGGTTTACGCCCTGTAGCGAAGGTATAGTCGCGACGCGAGAGCGTGCCCGACTGAATGCGAGTCAGGCAATTACCTGACTTTCGTATTGCCATTTTAGAGCGAGTATGACGTATCTATACTTTTAAAACATCTTAGGTTCTGGCCTTTCCAACGACCCTTCCTATAAAAATCCTTAAATTTTGAGGGTCATTTATCGGAATAAAAACTATCAGTTTTTACGTGGTAGAGCCATACTGCAGCTATATTAGTAATATAGTTGTAGCACGAATGGGGTCGGCTCGACCGGGGAAGAACCACGCTCTCACAGAATACCAGCGTCAAATAGCATTTTAACACTGCTGTGTTTCGTATGGTGAGTGTAGAGAACCGGAGACCCTTTTTACTGAAAAACAAGCATTCCATCTTAGTCCTCACGGGTGACAACGCATCTGCGTTTTGATTCGTAAATGTAGATGTCTATGAGCCACAGCAACCACTTACCATCAAGTGGACTGTGTGCTCGTTTGTCACTCGATCCGATCTCTCAAGTTGGAACAAAATTCACACTGTGTTGAGTTTGGTTTAACTTGAGAGATAGGATACTTTTTATCCCGATAAGTGACCTTTTTTTTTTTGCGAATTTAAGGATTTTTTCATAAGAAGGGTCGTCGGAAAGGGCAGAACAACGTCTGCCTGGCCAGCTAGTATATATATATATATATATATATATATATATATATATATATATATATTAGTAGTACTCCTCTATTTGTGTAGGTACTATGAACTACATAACATGTTTCACCAATTTTCGAATTGATTTATAAAGCACCCGATTAAAAAGAAAAAAATATTAATGCGATAAATTCCGTTAAATTAGTTTCACTCAATGCGATTAAATCAGATATAATGTCAAACACATAGAACAAATTTTAGCCATAACGTGCGTTATAAAACGAATAACAGATTCGGATTTCAACCAAAACAATATAACTCAGCTAATTACTAAGCCACTGAGTCATCTGAAA